ACCTCATTCTGGAACTTCTGGAGAGACCAGATACTGAAACTAGCCGTGCACCACTGCCAAGTGACCAGAAGCAAGTCCCGCAAAAATTCTACGCCCACTCGTCCCTGGATGACGAAGGATCTCCTGAGCCAGATCAAAACAAAGCACAAACAGTTCCGCACCTACAAGGCGACCCAACTAGACTCAGATTGGAAACTGTACACAGCCCAGCGTAACCGAGTAACCGCTCTTTTGCGACAGGCTAAGTCCGACTTTGTCCAGCAAACAACGTCAACGGGTACAAACCTCCACCGTCTACTGAAGCACCTGAAAAAACCGCCTAAGCAAACAATTCCCACACTATCGACAGCCAACTCCACTGCAGCCACGGCTATGGAGAAAGCAACAGCTCTCAACAAGTTCTTTATCTCCCAAAGCCAACAGTCCATCGACAAGACCACCTGTACTACACCAGACATCAACACTACCCCTGACATCAGTCATACTCTAAATACAATCGCAGCAACAGTGGAAGAGGTCGAGAAGCTTCTATGCAGTCTAGACACTGGCAAGAGCCCAGGCTTTGACAACATCCCAACTCGGCTCCTGAAAGAAACTGCAAAGGAAATCTCCCCATCTCTCACTAGTCTCTACAATCTGTCCTTCAGAACCGGAGAAATACCACAGGATTGGAAAGACGCAACTATTACACCCATCCCCAAGTCAGGCAACCCCTCCCATCCTACCAACTACCGACCCATCTCCCTGCTCAGTATAATATCAAAAACACAAGAAAAAATAGTCCACTCTCGTCTGTACAATCACATAGCACCGCACTTACCCTCCAACCAATCCAGCTTCAGGAAACAAGACGGGCCCACTGCCTGTGAAAATGCTACAACCTCGTGTAGCCAGTTCGCGGACGACACCGCACTAATTGCCATTGCAGGCAGCTACATTGAGTGTGAGGCTGCGCTACAAAGAAGCGTCGATGCCGCAGCAGAATGGCTAGTGCGCTGGCACCTGCTAGTCAATAAAACTACAACCGTCATCCTCCCGTTCTACCATGCTAACCGACCCCCACCACGACTACCCGCAATAAAACTTGGCCAAACCCTATTAGAAACAGTAACACAACATCGTCACCTCGGCATCATCTTTCAGCACGACCTAAGATGGTCAGCCCACCTTGACTTTGTGTTGAAGAAAGCCGTAAAATCTTTTAATATTCTCTTTAGGCTCAAATCAACTCTACACACTAAATCACTCTCTCTCATTTACAAAACGTATATCCTGCCTATAATTGAATATGCATGCATTGCTGTCACCCCGCTCTCAATCGCAGCCCTTGACCGTCTTGAGCGAATCCAGCGCAAGGCGGCCAGAATCTGCCTCCGTCTCCCCCTTTACACTCCTCTGGATCATTCAACACTGCTCCAGCGGCTCAAATGGCCGACAATGTTCTCTCGCCGCAAAGTGAAGCTCACCCTTCTTGCTCACTCCATAAAATACCAATATGCCCCACAACACATACGCTTGCTCAACACCCCCGCTCAAGTTACGGCCCAGTACAGCCTTCGACACGCACGCACTTGGCACCTCCCACCCTCCAGAACCGATCGCTGTAAAGACTCCCCACTGTACAAGTCCCTAGAATACTACAATGCACTCCCTGCTAGCATTCGTGACGTCTCCTCCCGACCTGCTTTCAAACAAGAAATCTGCTCACTGCTGATTAACTCAATCTGCTCCTGCAGCGCTCACCCTCTCCCATACTTGTAAATTTCAAAGTGATGTAAATCACTTTCCAACTGTTTAACCCACAATCTCACCTTCTCATCAATTTATCTCTTATTGGCGATGGTACCATCGTGAGAATAAAGAATTCAAATTCAACAACAACAACAACAACAACAACAACAACAACAACAACATGCTCTCCTGGGGCCAGACTCTCTCAACCCCCGCTGAAAAAGCAACCGCCCTGAACGCTTTCTTCATCTTGCAGAGCCAACAGTCAGTCACAGGGTGCCACGAGGAACTCCCCTCCATTCATTCCCCCACACCCAATACACCTGGCCTCACTACACTTGAAACAACAGCCCAAGAGCTCTCAAAGCCACTGTATAACCTGGATCCGTCAAAGAGCCCGGGCTGTGATGGCATACCAACCCGCCTACTGAAAGAGGCAGCCAGTTCACTTGTGCTGCCCCTAGCAACCCTTTTTAACATCTTCAAACGTTGCACTATCCCGCAAAAGTGGAGGGACGCAACAGTCACCCCCATCCACAAAAAGGACAGCAAAACCGAGCCCTCCAACTATCGACCGATATCGCTACTCAGCGTGACGTCGAAAGTGCAAGAGAGGGTAGTTGCTGACCGAATCTCGAAGCACATCCAACCTCACTTCCCCAGCGGCCAATCAGGCTTTCAGCCTAACGATGGCACCACACAGCAGCTACCTCAGTTAATCCATCAGATCACCAAGAAAAGAGATGCTGGGCAAACAGTAATTGCGTGCTTCTTCGACCTATCTAAGGCGTTTGACCGGGTGTGGCACCAAGGACTGCTTGCAAAATTGGCCCACCTGGGACTCGATGGCAAATTTCTTCAGTGGCTTGCCTCTTATCTCACCAACAGACAACAAAGTGTGCAAGTGGAGAGCAGCAAATCAACCTGGCTGAATATGCCAGCGGGGGTTCCCCAAGGCTCTGCCTTGGGGCCGCTTTTGTTCACGGCCTACACAGTCGATCTGCCAACCGCCTGCCTAAATGCCAACACTGAGTGCAGCCAGTTTGGCGACGACATTGCCATAATTGCCGCTCACGAGAAATTTCTAGCGGCAGAAGAGCACCTCCAGTCAGCTGTGACAACCGCCGCACAGTGGCTGAAGGATTGGCATCTCCTGGTCAATGAAAGTAAGACCACCGTCATCCACTTTCACCACACCAACCAGACATCTCCCAGACCACCATCAATCACACTCAACGATACTGTTGTGTATCGTGTCGGAGAAAGGCTTCTGGGGTGTCGTCGAGATCTCGTTGCGACCGTGACTCCTGCTTGTCTCCCTGGCTAGGTGCTGCTTGCTTTGCTTTTTTGCGTAGTGTTTTTGATTATTGTTTACTATTGCGTATTGTTAGTGTTCGTTGTGATTTGGTACAGTACTTGTTACGAGATACGACACATTGTGTAGTGTGTGTTTGCAGCACGAAGAAGACTGCTCACCAGAACGGTTAGCTCAGGAGCTTGGGCTTACCTTGTGCAATCACAGTTCATCAGCTTGGACATTGCGCTTGGTCCCATGCGAATAACCGACTAGAATAGTAATTATTTCTTCGTTGCATTTTTGAATTGTGTTCTTGCTAGCTCGTTGATTTATTTAGTTGATGTGTTGATTTGTGTTTGATTACTTATTTATTTGATGCGCGATTTATGTGCGCTGATTGCGTGATGGCATGCAATTATGATCATGCTTGCGCCAGCTAGCTAGATGCCTGCGCCGCGCACTGATGTTGAATGAGTTAGCATGCGCCCCGCGCTGTTCATGCATATATGGTACATGGTGTGTAATGTTTGCCGCACACGCGTATAGGTGCCGCGCCTCGTACTGCTCATGTGCCTCGCGCCGTACTATTGCTGTCGCTTTGCCAAATTTAGCTTCCGCTTTCCGAGCGCTGTACGCTCTTCTGTACGCTCTTCTGTACGCTCATGCCAAAGTTGGACGCACGTTGTGGCTGGCCAGCGCTTTACCCCTCATGCGTTGTTCTTTTCCTTGATGCTGTGGTTTGTTTTTCTTTAGTGTTCTAGAGTTCTCTTTCCGATGTAGTTCGTATTTTTCCAGTCTCTTCTTCTCAATGTATTCTACTGTTCATTCATTATAGTCCGTAAAGAATTACGTGACCTTTTGTCTTGTGGCGTCTGTGCGATCCTGAAACTTTTGAGGTGTTAGTAGTGAACACAACAGATACCAACCTCACTGTGGCCTCAAGGCATCGCCACCTTGGCCTCCTCATACTTCTCGTAATGAATGCCAGCAAGACTCAGGTCATATTCGTTCAGCCTCGTGGCGCAGCCATTGCCACACCCGATGTTTTCTGTAACAACGAGCAACTGGAGGTGACGGCCACCGCAAAGTACCTTGGTGTGATCGTTGACGACCAATTGTCATGGAGGTCACATGCCGACTATGTGTCACGTAGAACAGCACAAACCATAGGGCAATTGTGGAGACACGGGCGTTCGCTAACGCTGAGAGCTCGACGGTCGTGGTACACCAGTACGATGAACAGCCAGCTGTGTTATGCTTCAGCAGCATTCTACCCAAGCCTCACAGCTCAGCTTCTCGACCGTTTGGGGAAGATCAGCAAGGCTGGAGTCAGACCTGTGTTTCAGCTAGCAGCTTTCAGCTAAGAGACTCCCCATCTATGGTTTTCTTGATTTCTTTAATAGCATCCCACTCAGCCTCTGGCAAATCAACCCCAGACAAAATTTAAAAGCATCCTACCACTTGTCATCTCTTCCGTATTTACTTGCTCACATTGCTCAGTACATCTATAGCTCCATTGTGCCTAGCCTATGTGGTAAACTCCCTATTGCCATCGCTACTACTTCAGCAAGCAGCTAAACTTTGATCTGTCTGTATCCGATCCCCGTGCCTGTAATTCTTTTCCTCTTGTTTGCCAGAGGCCATCGTGAGAATAAAGGATTTCAAACAACTACAACCTAAGGCTGCAGCAGCCCTTTCCATCACACGGCATAGAAATGACCAGCGGTGCTTTAGGATATGAGGGAAAGCAGGGAAGGCAGCTGGCGGCTGGGAATCAGTGCTTTTGCTGTTGGAGAAAGCGTGAATGAGCATGCCCACATGCCAACAAGTTGCTTGTAATTCACTGGAGGCTTAAACTCTAAAACTAGTTCGCGAAAAATCTACTGATTCCTTAACTTAATTAAGTATTGACGATGGTGATAAAGATGTTTAAATTTGCTCCTTTTCGTGCACAGAAAATGAAGTTACTCACTTTCCCAGACTTGCAAGACCTTTTCTCAGCACATCCAAGTAACGCTCGAGATATCTCCATGTAGATAGTGGGGTTTCAACACACCTTTGATAGTTACCCTTATCCTCTGCATGAATGAGCAACACAGACCATAAGCACACACACACACACATACACACACACACACACACACAAACACACAAACACACACACAAACACACACAAACACATACACGCATACATGCACACACACGAACACACAAACACACACCATTTGACAATTTGACCATTTGACGCCCATCGCCAGAGGCGATGATAACGATGCTACGGCAGAAGCCATAGCAGCTTGTGCTGGGATTACACCATTCAACAGCGTGCAAGGCTGAAGAATTGACCGCCACTATTCAGCCTGGTCTACACCACACGGCTATGAAGTGGCTTTTTCTGGTCAGTGAATCCCTACTTTTTGGTCGTTTTCATTTTTTTTTACCCGCACACACACCACACCACATACTCCGGCTTGCACTGGCTGTTGGTAACCACTCAGGAGAATGAAAGAAAAGTCAGGAAGAGTGTGAGAAAGAGAAGAAAGACGTGTATGACCATAATTGTCGGGAATTGAACCCGCAACCTCTCGATTGGAAATCGCTGCACATACCACCGCATCATATGGGACACACACACACACACACACACATTAACTACAACACACAGCAGATTGCAGTTCGCAGTGTGCTGGCCAGCAGAGTGAGACGCTACGGAGAGAGATCAATGGTAGGCAGGCTAGTCAGTGCCCGAGCAGGATCTTGGCGGAGCCAAGAGGGTGGTCATATCCAAGGAACGGAGACCGAGAGCCCTGAGTAGCCGGAAAAGAGCGTGGCCAACACCCCATTATTTACTTTTGTTAAAGTAAATGATTGATGATAAATGGAAGGTGGATGAGTATAACCTAAAGATCTGACAAGAGTGATCCACACAAAGAACGGATCGAAATATATAACTAGGCAAAATTTAGCATGCCATGCCGCACACATTGAGCATCACATGGAATGTCACGTAGAATGTCACGTTGCATATAGTTCCATGGGTGCATGCACCATGAGATTTGGTCGACAGGGTTACCGTTATGTGCAGTGCACGTGATTGTAGCCAGCCAGTCTTGGAGCATTTCGAGCACTCTTGGCGGGGTTTGCAGCTCTTTATAAAAATGCTTTGCTTCACGGAAACGTATTTCATTGCGAAGAGCTGCGCTTCGGTCCTCTGAGCTGTGCTGAGGAGCTCTAACAGAGCGAAACAATTGCTGTCCACAGATTTGAGTACATACATACATACATAGAAGGAGGAAAACTTTCTTCTGCCAGCGGAGACGGCTCGACACAATAAAGTGGCACATTATTACACCCAAAAGGCACAATGGAGGTTTATAGGGTTGTCGCAACTCAGAGTTTCGTGCTCAATGCAATCATCAGGCGGCTCTGTAAACCTCCATTGTGCCTTTTGTGTACATATAAACAAATATTACACTGCAATGAAGCAAACAAATCTCTTTCCGCTGTTACTCGGAGTTTCGTGTGAAAACACTCATCAGGCAGCATTATGATCAAGACTAACAATCACTAGAATATATAGGGAGGGGCTTGAGAAAAGAGGGCAGAGGTGATGGAGGTACAATATTTCAATAGCACGAGGAAAAGGGGTGACAAAATCAGCGTGATTATATGAGGAAAAAGATGTTGAGAGTATAGAGCACAGCCTGGGTAGAGGAACAGCACGATTCTCTGGCAACACATCAGTACAGGTCTGTGCTGCATTGTGACACATGACATTGTGAGTGCTAGAGGAACAGCACGATTCTCTGGCAACACATCAGTACAGATTTGTGCTGCATTGTGATACATGACATTGTGACCTGGGGTGGTGAAAATGGTGATGGGGATTGTGCGTAGTAGGAATCACTCACGATCAGCGCCGTGTCACCTCCCTGTATTTTGCTCCTCTCTGGTTGAAATAGAATATGAGTGTCATTGTGATAAATGTTGGTTTGCAGCTTGTACGGCAAACCGTACTTATCGCTGACAACCGAGCAGCAGGCAAAAGCCACGCGCGTGGATAGGCGCGCAACAATGGAGGTGTTTGGCATGCAATGGCGGGCAGCCATACTGGGGAAAGCCCAGCCCGCACCATGAGTACGAGTACGCCCATATGGGCAGGCGAGACTACCCCATATTTGCATAAAGGTATCAGCGCTACTAATGCAATGCTTACTACAAGCAGGGCTCATGGCGCCTAATATCTATATTAGGAAGCAGTTCCTTTCATGGTACGAAAGGACTCCAGCACGCGTACTAAGCCTCAGCCAAGGTACAGTACTAACTGAGCATGCACGATACAACAGGCGGTGTGGCGGAGCAAAACATACCACGTATGGAAGAGGCGAAGTCCCCTGATGCCACCCGGTCCACCATGACAGACACCACCATGCTTACATGGGAAATAAGGCGCGAGAGCCCACCAGGTAAGGGGCCGTCCGTAAATATCGATGTTTTTTTAGAGACGATATTGGTGCGTCTGGGGGGGAGGGGGTTTGAGCCATGTGCGTCTTTTCGAGCATCAGAAAAATATCGATGTAAATATCTGAAGTTTCGCCGATCCCTGCACGCGGACGTCTAAATGGCTATACAAGAAATGTGAAACCAGCTTCCGTTCGCGGAGCTAAAACTCGCGACACAAGAACAAAATCAAAAATTGGAAGCTGTACGCCCATGGCGAATTTCAAGAGCAAAAGAATGAGCTATTGATTGTGGAAATCGGCCGAACGATGCCTGCAGGAGATCTTTTTCAAGACGTAGAGGCAGTGCCAACAAACACGGACGAACTCCACAAGAGTTTCCAGTCTTCACTGTCTGAACAATGATTTGAAAAAATTCAAGCCCGAGCGTAGCCGCTTTGGCTACACCAGTACACGATGGCTGTGAGCACTGCAGCGCCAACCCGGTTCGCTCCCCCCAGGCGATGCAGCTATTGCGTGAGTGCGGCGGGATTTTCACGCCTACACCGGACCCTCAACATCCTGGGCACTTCATGAGCATCCAAAAATATTGATTCCATTATCTAGATGTACATGTGCGTCTTTTGGGGGGAGGGAGGGGGGTCAAGGGAGAGAAGCACCAATATCGTCTCTAAAAAAACATCGATATTTACGGACGGCCCCTAAGGCGGGCTGCATAAGCACGTGGCAAGCGCAAATAGCGTAAGATGTACCCACGAGGGCCACAACGTGAGAGTATGGCCGCATGCGCAGAGTACGAGAGTACGATGCTGGATCAACGCAGGGCGGATCGATGTGTGGCTGTGCTACAGCACGAGGCACCTCAGCAGTTGGAGGTGGTGAATGCAGGGACAGCATCAATATTGGCAGCTAGCAGCAGCAGATAGGCATGATTTTTCTCTCTTCTTCAAGACTAGCAAGAGGAGCAGAAGGCAACCCTCGTTTCACTCGTGATTGCATAATCACATGGCAAAAACAACAAAAATGCAACCCCTTCTATGGTGCTATGGTGTGTGTGTCTCAGGGGGGGGGGGGGGGGGGGGCGGGGGAGGGGCAATATCATCTGTCACGATTACGTTGAATTACGATTACGATCTAGTCAATTATGAGTAGGAGGTATGATAAGGGGTTACACTCCACTACACGTATTATTACGATGTTTTCTTTGAGCTAGTACTTCTGGTAATTGGAATTATTTGCTCGAATTTTCTGCTGCATGCGAATGATAATTTTATCTCTGAATATACTTGCGCGTTTTGTTGTTCTTTTCCCTTTTGCGGGTACGCGATTTGTTGGCATGACATCATGCGCAGCTCATTGTGACGATGATGTCACTATTGTTATGTTTGTACCAGCGCTGCAGCGTAGTTCTGAGGTATCTTTTGCGAAATTGCCGTGTTGCAACGCCATTATGGGGCAATTACAAATTTGGTGATCAAAGCAGCTGCCTTTTCTAACCTTGGGGTTCTTTTTGTTGTTGTAATGTTCTTGTGAATATACCAACTTTTTTCTTCCTAACCAGTCGCTTGGTGCACTGGTCTGTGTGAACGACGGTAATGTTGGTTTTTGGATTTGAGAAGTAGAAGATGATAAGACAAGGTGAACGGCACATAGAAGACGACATAGCTTGATTGCACTGCACGTTTCGTCCCCGCTGGACTCATCAGGCAATCTTCTTCTTGGATGTCTTCACACGAAGCTTCACTCGGGAGAATATAAGTACTGCTGCGATGGTGTCTTCAACTTCATTCTCCCGAGCCATAGCTATGTCATTGCTGTGTCATCTTCCATGTGCCATGCGCTACTTGATGTGCCGGCCTGCTATGTCGGACACTGCTAACCATGCATCGACTAGGTGACAGCCGCGAACTGATGGTGGTGGTGGTGAGAAGGAGAGCTCTGTGCCAGAACTTGGCAGCTTAGAGAGCGCGTGTGGGCAGGCCTGTATTTACCGCCATATTTCCAGGTGTGTGTTTACCACCATATTACACAAGAATGCAAAACATTGAACTCGGATCATGAGCTAGTATTAACCTTGGTAAAATAGAAGAAGAAAACACATGGAAATGAGTTCTGAAGCAACTATTCACGAATGTAACAAGATAATATGCGGTCAGTACGTGCCATAACAGGGCATGAAACTGACAGGGTACAGAGACAATCAGCGACCTAAGACCTAGTTCTAACACATCTCCCATGAGCAAACCAACAGTATTCCAACTTGGAAGGTTCAAGGCAGGGTAGGACCAAAGAAGGGGAAGGTGAGCAACGTGGATGTGTGCTCAAGCTAAGCCCCTGTTATGGCACGTATTGACCTCTTATTATCTTGTTACATTCGTGAATAGTTGCTTCAGAACTCATTTCCATGTGTTTTCTTCTTCCATTTTACATTTAATACTGGTTCATTATCTGATTTCAATTTTGCACACCTGATGAGCCGTCACTAACAACACGGCGAAACGTACGTCGTATGAAACTACTTGTTATCGTAGTCAACTCGTAAACTACTGGTTATCGTAGTCAACTCGTCCACAATACTGTCTTGCTCATGGATTACCATTAGATATTGGCGTCCGGTTTTGTACAATTAGTTTTCACAGCGATCAGCACAGCTATTGTACCTACCCGTTACCAACGTGTCAATATGAAGTGTTACTGCCTCTTTATATAGTGTATGTCCTTCTTTAAAGAAGGCTGGCCTTGCTTCGATAAGACCATGTTCATTTTGCTGTTGTCTACTATTAGCCGTTGTTCGAGTACGTTCCGTGTTTGCTGAAGCCGTATTTCCAGCACCATCCGGGGCAGAACAAATTCCTGGAGGGAAGCCTTTGTGTTTGTTCGCCAAGAACTGTGTGCGTTGCATTGGATAGGTTGCTCCTGCACTGTTCTGATTATTGCCATCCACTTGTCTCTTGTTGAAATCCCCAGACGTATTATTTGTTTGTATACACCTGATGGGTTTGTACTTCATGCCATTGTATCTTGGAGAATATGAGAAAAATGCAACAAACAAGCCAATGGATTGTGAAAAGGGCGAGGGTTAGGAATTCTATGGAGAACCAGGGATTTCTTTTTGAAATATTTTATTCTACTGTGAGTGGGGCTGCGGGTTAGGCAGTTGGAAACTAATTTACTCTACTTTCAATTTTACAAGTATGGGACAGGGTACAGATCCAGCAGTGAGTAGATTTCTTGTTTGAAAGCATTTCGGGAGGAAACATCACGAATGCTAGCAGGAAGGGCATTTTAGCCGTGGTTGGCTATAAAAACCCTGCAATCGCCACACAAAGTGGTCATTGGCTACCCCAGCCATATATTGCCTGGAATAAAATAAATAAATAAATAGTATTATAGAGATGTGTACAGTGGGGGGGGGGGGGGGTGTTTACAGCGGTCGGTTCTGATGGGTGGGAGGTGCCAAGTGTGTGTGCGTCGAAGGCTATACTGGGGCGTAACTTGAGCGGTGTGCTGAGAATGCGTATGTTTTGTGGGGCATATTGGTATTTTATGGAGTGTGCAATAAGGGTAAGCTTTACTTTGCGGCGAGAGAATATTGTCGGCCATTTGAGCCGATGAGGCTGTGCTGAATGATTCTGAGGAGTGAATAGGGGGAGGCGAGGCATTTTTTGGCCGTCTTGCGCTGGATTCGCTCTCAAGGCGGTCAAGGGCTGTGATTGAGAGTGGGGGGGGGGGGGGGGGACAGCAATGCATGCATTATATTATAGGCATGATATGTGTTTGTAAAAGCAGGAGAGGGATTTAGTGCATAGAGTTGATATGAGCCGAAGGGGCCGTCTGTAAAATTTACATGCATTTACTTAGAGACGTCTAACAGGCGTTTCTGGTGGGTAGGTTTGCCTGCAAGGCGTTTCTAAAAAATGCATTTCAGAGTGCATGCATACATGCCGCACTTGTGCATGTACGTGATGTGGAACTGCTACAGCTTGTACAGCCTACAGTACAGGCAGGCGTTGAGACACACTACACTGTACTGTACTACACTGCACTGCACTGCACTACATGAGTCACGGCAGACAGGGAGACAGGGACACGTATAAAGGGATAATTTTGTGTGGGTTCAAAACAGGGACATGGACAAGGGTTCGCTATATTTATCACGAAATTCACTATATTGTAGTTTGTTGTACATTGTAGGTGGAGTCGACTGTACTGAATATGTGTGCATTGTATTGTGTTTATAATGAGTGGTATTATCTGCATTTGGCCGGGGGGGGGGGGGGGGGGGGCGGGGGGGGGGGGGGGGCGGGGGGGGGGGGGGTGTTATTGGGGGTGGGGGTGGGGGTCACAAAAGAAACGCCTGTTAGACGTCTCTAAGTAAATACATGCATTTACGGCCGGCCCCTAAAGAGAATAATGCATGATTTTACAGCTTTCTTCAGCGCAAAGTCAAGGTGGGCTGTCAATATTACTAGGTCATGCTGAAAGATGATGCCGAGGTGGCGAAGGTGATGACTACCATCTTTGCGGTGCTGATTAGGAGGTGCCAGAGCTCCAACCAACCAGCGGCAGCTGACACACTGCTCTGCAGTTGCAGTTCGCAGTGTGCGGCAGAGCTACTGGAACAGGCGAGGGCTGTGTTGGCGGCAAACTGGTTGTACCTGATGCTGCCGCTCTCTCAAGCAGCAGGCAGGTTGATGATGTATATCAGAAACAGCAGTGCCTCCAGGACAGAGTCCTGGGATCACTCTTGCCAGAATGGGGAGGAAGGCTGATGTAGTGCCCTCAACTCGCACTCGCTGCCTGCGCCTACTCAAGTAAGCGGAGAACCATCGCAGTGCCACTTCCAGGACACTGTAGTGATCGAGTTTGTCCAGCAGGCCCTGTTGCCATACCCGGTCGAAGGCTTTGCTCAGGTTAAAAAAAAGCCTGTAACGTGCTTTCCCGAGTCGTGAGCATCCGATGTATCATGGACCAGTCGAGCAAGTTGCAGCCTTTCTCCCGGAATCTGGATTGGTTAGAAGTAAAAGTGCGGTGGGACGCGTTTGTAGAGGCGTGAGTGAACCATTTTTTCTCGGATTTTTGAGGTTATGCTGAGCAGAGAGATGGGCCGGTAGTTTGTTGGCTGGGAGACGTCTCCTGACTTTGAGATAGGGGAGATCGTGACAGTCGTGTAGTATTTCTCCCCAATTGCAAATGACAAGTTCAGGAGGGCATGCCAGGGAATCTGAAATTTCTGGTGCGACTTCTTTGAGGAGACAGGTTGGTAGGAGGTCCGAACCTGGGCTTTTGTGTGTGTTGAGGCCTCGAAGAAGCTTCTGGACTTCTTCTGTCGATGCTGTGATGGTTGTCAAGTTGCAGTTTATTTCAGGTGTCATGTCAATGGGTGGGATATCTGGTGAGCAGTTGCTGACCGACTGCTGGCTATGGGAAACGAAAAACTCATTCAGGACAGAGGCTTTCTCTGAGGCAGTAGTCACAGTGGCGGTGGGGGGGGGGGGGGGGTGAGGAGACTTGGGATGGTGCGCTTGTGTGGCGTTTTGAAGTGTTTGATAATGTGATGGAGTTTTGTTCCTTTCGTGGCTGTGCATTGGACAAAGTCAGACTTGCTGCGACGGAGAAGAGCGGGTACGATGTTGTATTGGGCCGTGAAGTGTTGCCAGCTACTTGCTTTGTAGTTTGGTAGTTACAGAGCTTCTTATGCTTCTCCTTTATCTCCTTTTGAGGAGGTCCTTTGTGACCCAAGGGTGCGCTGCGGCGGTGCTTCTGTTTGTTCGCAATGTGGTTCGTGTGATTTTGGCTGTGTCTGGTGGCAGCTTGCAGAAGCTGTGATCTCCAGTGGTTCCAGAACGAGTTGGCAGGATTCGGGTCTTGCGGAGTGGATGTGTAATGTAGTTTAATGGGTTCATTGCCTAGGGCAGCACGATGTAATCCGTCTGCCTGTCCATAACCGGTAGGTGTTGCCGTTTTCCCGTTGTGCACTGTCGTGAGTTGATGGCGGTGGGATCGTGCTGGCGCCTGTGACCACACCGTGGTCCGAGGTGCCCAGGGGTGGTAGTTGGGAAATGCTGTTGCCTGGTCATGGGAGTAGGACATAATGAGGTTTAGGCAGGAGCTGGCTGCTTGTCTGTATATGGGCGTCGGCAAGCAAATGCGTTTCTGCAGTCCTTGGGCCGCGCACAGGCGCTGAAGGTTGTTTCCTAAGCGGTCGGTAGTATCGCTGGCAAGCCAGGCGGAGTTCTTCACTTTGAAGTCTCCGACAAGTAGCACATCACTGCTCGTTTGTTTGGCCAGTCGGATGGCACCGTCCAACTCGACAAGGAATTGTTCCCACCTAGCGCGTGGTGGGCAGTAGATATTACCTAATTCGCATGCAGTGATGTTCACCCATAGACATTCGTCGCTGCTGCTGTTAGCGATGTAGAGGGCGACGCTTCCACCGAAATTCTTTCCTGTCAGCTCGGATGAGGTTGAAACCTTCGATGGCATACATGCCATCCGGGCGTACCGGATGGGCCCAGGTTTCTTGAATTGCGGTCATTGACAGGGCAGAGCTGGCGAACGTGCGAGGGAGTGCAGTTCCTCCATCTTGTCGAACAAGCACCTTACATTGGTGCAAATGAACTTGAAGGTGTGTTCCTTTTTAATGTTTAAAAAAATTGTTGCTGTTGCTGATTGAATTTGCAGGAAATATTTGTGCTGTTGACTTCTTTTTCTTGGGATTGCATTCAGAAGTGTCTGCTCCAACTGATTGTGCCTGCGACGTCGCTTGTTGAGTGTTTTCTACTATCCCTCGTATGCGGTGACTTGTTTGGGTAGCGCCATGCTACACTCGTCGTCGTCACTGGTGTGACCCATGTCGTCGGTGTCATTCATGCTTGCGTCTCCGTCACATGGTGTACTGGAGGCAATGACCAACAGGTTGCTGCTTGCTGACGCGGGGTTTGACAAGTGGTCGTCTTTCGGAGCGGCGACAGAGATTGTGCTGTTGACTGTGGAGTTACTGCTCTTTGTTTTTGCTGCCAGCTAATTTTTAAGGCTCGCCTGTCATCTGCCTCTCCGCATAGAATGTGCACTACAGGCCCAGTTGCTGATATGATTACCCATCGTCATCTGCAGTTGTTTGGCCGCATTGCCAGAATGGACAACAGTCGGCCTCCAAAGGCAGTGCTGTCCTCGTGGCTCCATGGTCCTGCTCGTGCCCCCAGGTGGTGATGGTGTGGCGTGGTAAGCGATTACCTCAAGATGTTCCGTCCATACACCGGTTGGTACGACGTCGCAGCTGAACATAGCGAGTGGATCCCAGTCCATGTCGGATGCCATTTTGGCACGGTGCTTGCAACTTGATGCGACCGTAAAGTCAGTATGCGGTACGGCCGACTCTTTGTCAGTCAATGCGCACTTTGGCAGCACAAATGCAGGCAAGAGCGGCTGAAACCGATCTATGAACAGTTCAGTGCTGTTTGCTGTGAAACGTGCCACCGTTGGTTAGCTAGCGGAGGTGGATTTGCCGTGCACAGCTGCTCTCCCAGCCTAGGTGACGCTCCAGTTTTCGAGATAGCTGCACCTCGCCCACCTGATTGCAGCCAATGTCAGTACCACTGCCACACCTGTGACCGCTGTTTCTGGTGCAAAGCGGAGCACCGCCGGCACGACTGCAGCCGTAGAACATTCAGCTCTGGCTCAAAGTGGCGCACCATCCCATGCCTGACCTGTTCTCGGAAGTTCACAAGTCCCCAGTACCCGGCTCAACACAAATGCAAGAAGTAAATCTGCGCCTCCTTGCCTCTCTGAGGCACTGCATCACCTTTGGGTGGCAGTTTCATGGTTCAAGGCTCAAGGTTCAAGGTGTGTGTGTGTGTGTGTGTGTGTGTGTGTGTGTGTGTGTGTGTGTGTGTGTGTGTGTGTGTGTGTGTGTGTGTGTGTGTGTGTGTGTGTGTGTGTGTGTGCATGTATACATGTGTACATGTGTGCATGCGTGCATGTATGCGTGTGTGTGTGTGCATGCGTGCATGTGTGTGTGTGTGTGCATGCGTGCATGTATGTGTGTGTGTGTGTGTGTGTACCATATGGTGCAGTGGTATGTGCAGCGATTTCCAATCGATAGGTTGCGGGTTCGATTCCCGACGATTATGGTCACACACGTCTTTCTTCTCTTTCTCAGACTCTTCCTGACTTTTCTTTCATTCTCCTGGGTGAGTACCAACAGCCAGTGAATGCCGGAGTATGTGGTGTGGTGTTCGGGAAAAAAAGAGACCAAAAAGTAGGGATTCACTGGCCAGAAAAAGCCACTTCATAGCTGTGTGGTGTAGACCAGGCTGTGTGTGGCGGTCAATTCTTCAGCCTTGCAAGCTGTTGAATGGTGCAATCCCAGCACGAGCTGCTATGGCTTCTGCTGTAGCATCGCTATCATCGCCTCTGGCGATGGGCGTCCAATGGTCCAATGATCCAATGGTGTGTGTGTGTGGGGGGGGGGGGGGGGGGACTTTTCGCCCGCATCATCCAGGACCGCCTGCAGACTTTCGCCAAGTCTGTCCTTCGCGACTTACAGTGCGATTTCCGTAGGGGTTGTGACTGCATGGATATGGCCCATGTTGCTCGCCCGTTGGTGGAGAAATCCATTGAGCATGATGTGCCACTCCATGCGCTATTTATTGACCTGAGGAAGGCATATGACTCGATCCCGAGGCCTGCGCTATGGGCCCTCCTGGAGAAGCTCGGAGTCGCGCCCACCATGCTGAACATCATCAAGTCACTGCATGAGTCCATGCAGGTGAAAGTGCGGGTTGGTGGCGGCCTCACATCCAACATCAATGTCAACAAGGGCCTGCGGCAGGGCTGCATGCTTGCCCCTGTGCTGTTCAATTTGTACTTCTCGGCGGTAGTTGACCACTGGCGTTCTATGTGCCTGGACGCAGGTATCGAGCTGCGGTACAAAGGTGGGAGAAAGCTCGTTGGCGACCGAACTGCCAAGTCTCGTGTGCAGCGTGTCAGTGCAACAGAGTCGCAGTTTGCTGACGATGCTGCGCTATACGCCACGTCCAAGGCATCCTTTGATCGGTGTGTGGAGACGTTTGTGGCTTGTGCTTCTGGTTGGGGACTAACTGTCAGCTTGACAAAGACCAAAGCTATATTAATCAATACTCCCACCAGTGAGCCAATTCATCTCGGGAATGGAACCATCGACGCCGTTGACCAATTCACATATCTTGGGTCCGTGATTCACCGGGATGGTCTTTGTGCGGATGATGTACAGTAGCGGATTTCTAAGGCGACTCGAGTGTTTGGTTGCTTGCGGGCACCTGTCTTCGGGAACCGCTCCTTGTCCCTCCGATGTCGACGTCGTGTCTACGTGGCTCTCGCTCGTTGGACCCTGTTGTATGGAGCAGAGACCTGGACGACCAAGGCTCCTGATCTGCGCCGTCTTAACGCATTCTACCATCAGTGCGTGCGGTCAATTGTCGGCATCTCGAGACACGGGCAATGGGATGATCGTGTCACTTCTTCAACACTGGCGAAGACCCTCGGAATTGATTCAGACATCGGCGACATCATCCGCGAGCGTCGGCTACGATGGCTCGCCCATATTGGCTGCATGGACGCTGACCGTCTGCCCAAGTGTAGAGGAGACGGTTTCAAATAGGACACCGGTTGCAAACCGGAACGGACTCAATATTCACTTTCTCTCTTGGTATTTTGATTAGAAAACATATGTCACAGTGAGACTACGATGTGTTATACTCCGAGCCAAAATTTCATGGCTCTGCGATGACCAGAAGCGCCATATCAAGCAGGTGAGTTTTTGACGTGTTGCTTCGCACTGCGACTTGAGTTTTACGACTTTCAAAAAATCAACTTCTTGTCGCAGGTAAACAGCGGCTCGCCTCTCGCCAATAAAGCACCGCATACCAATCAAAACTAATGGAAGCACACACAAGGCTTATTGTTACTCTGTACTGGCCGTCGTGGAGCGATAGCAATTACCCAATTTCAGACCCAGAGTGAATTTGACGTGCACTCTAAAACGTGTCCGGTTTGGAGCCACCTCTGATTTGAGCTTTTTTTGAAGCGAAAAATTGGGCAACTTGGAGGCAATGGGTCAACACAAAGGAGTGGCTCAGTTCGATTGACTCTGGCCCCAGAGCAAACTTCAACATGCCAGTTTCCTTCCACAAACATATTTCGAGTGAAAAATCAACGCTGATGATCGGTTTGGGTCTATACAAATTTGGCTGTCAAAACGTCCCGGTATCGAGCCGTCCCCTCTACCCTGTTTCGGGAGCTCTCTGCAACTCGACCTCAGCACGGCCCACGCAAGCATTGGCGGGATGTGGTTGTGGACAATTTCAACCGCATTCATCCACCTGCCCCTGAGAAGGAATGGCTCAATGCTGCCCAGAACTGCTCGGAGTGGAGGGAGGTCATCCACCGTCGTCCTCGGCCTCGTGATGTCTCCGCCAAGTATCGTTGTGCTTGAGGGAAGATGTGTCGCCCCCCGGCGATCTCAAGCTCCACGAACCTTTCTGCCGGTTGCCGCCGAATTAGTCCTTTCGCTATCACTGCCTACGGCAATGGGCAAGTTCAAGGTACAAGGTTCAAGGGGAGGGGCACGAACCTTTCTGCCGGTTGCCGTCGAATTAGTCCTTTCGCTATCATTGCCTACGGCAATTGGCAAGTTCGAGGTACAAGGTTCAAGGGGAGGGGAGCTGTGTGTATGTGTGTGTGTGTGTGTGTGTTTGTGTGTGTGTGTGTTGGCCTCAAGCCAAACCCCAAATATAGCAATCCAAGATGAGAATGGTGACATCTGTACCCTCTCCGTTAGAGCAGGGACGGCGATGGTTGCGCCGCCTCACCAAGGTCTACAACATCCCCAGCACATTCCACTCCAGTGTTATCGATCAGGTGGAACAGCAGGACATCGTCGAGGAGCTTGGCGAGCCACCGAACCTTGCTGAGCTTCAGCGCGCGGTGTCAGCCATGAGCAATGGGAAGGCAGCTGGCGGCTCTGACATCTTACCTGAGATGGTTAAAAGGCTGGTGGCCCCGCTCTCATGTGTGCCCTCTTGGACCTCGTGTCCTGTCCGTCCAATGTGCGGCTCGAGGAAAAGGTGGTGCGATGCTGCGCGGAAGGATCTGGCAGTGTTGAGCATCGACGAATGGTGCGACTTGGCCAAGGATGGGCGGGAATGGCGGGCCGCTTACAATGTTCTGCCCCCGCCCAAACCCGTTTGTGAGCCCCTGCGGATACCTTGTGCCGAGTGTGGTCGTCTCTTCTCCAGGAGTGGTTTGCCTCGTCATAAATGCCTCGATGAGCGCCGCAAACCTGTATCGGAACAGAGAGGTAGCCTACAATGTCCTTCCTGCGAGCGCTGGTTCCGCAGTGCCGGAGATTTGGCAGTCCACAAGTGCCCCAACTCCCGGACTCTTCCCGCGACATCGTCTCAGGCTCTGTGCCGGTTGGCGGTGTCTACCATTGCTGCTCAGGTAACTCCTTTGCCGCCGCGTGTGCGGCTCACTCTCTAATGCTGCAAGGCCCACTGTGGGGCCTGTGGTCGGTGCTGTCGCTCTACTCGTGGATTTCAAATCCATAGCTGCCTAAGATGGCTCTCTCGTCGTGCCGATTGAACACGGCCCCTGATCTCTCGGAAGGTCTGCCGACTTTCTTCCATCGCTCATCGTTTCCACATTGTCGGCCCCGCAAGGGGACACGTGACCGTAAGGGCGGTGTTTAGCAGGACCAGGATCAGTTGTGTGTGTGTGTGTGGTTGTGTGTGTGCATGTGTGTGTGTGCGCACGTGCGTGCGCGTGCGCGTGTGTGTGTGTGTGTGTGTCATACCTACCGTATTATCTCTAATATAAGCACGGTCCTTTATTTTTCAATGTACCTCCGCCCCGTGCTATTAATGGAGACTTTCCTTTATTGGAGACTGTTCCATTATTATTTCAACCTCATTTCAGAGGCATGTTGCCATGCCAAATTCATGTATGACACACACATTTCAGGGTTTTTTTCGCCGGTACAGATAATGAATTTACACAGTGTGCTTATAATGGAGACTGAGCAATATATATTTTTGGAATGTCGCCCCAAGGTGTTCTATTATTGGAGACGTGCTATTATTGGAGACTGTGCTTATATTAGAGATAATACAGTATGTTATTGGCAGACATCTCGTACAGCACACATATTGTATTAGTTCAGATGAGCCTTACCTTGTGTACACATCAGGTGGTTTACTTGCATTTACATCAGCCTTAGTCACCGGTCTCATGTGCTTCACTGAGGGGGTTATAGTTAATAGTGCGGTTTCTTCTTTGTCGGTAAGCCCTGCTCCTTTTCGAACACCCAGCTTGAATCCACACCATTCCCTACAAAACACAGCAAGGCAAACAAGAGTATAATGTTGAAAATGGCTTGCCATGAGAGCCCCAGTTCTAAATAAGGCTTGCCATGAGAGCCCCAGTTCTAAATAAGGCTTGCCATGAGAGCCCCAGTTCTAAATATGGCTTGCCAT